CTCCCACCGTGTAACACGCTCGCGGATTGGTTGAAGTGCGTCACGTGACCGCGAGCTTTCTGCCCAACCAAGTTCCTAGCTGGCCACTGTGAAGGAACGTGATTGTGCTGTGGATTCAGAAACCCGAGTTTGAGGGTGACGTCCGAACTGCTGATTGTTTGGGCGCTGACCACTGGTGAAGTACCCGTCTGGTCACTGCCTGCATCTTGGAGTGGATTGAACAAGGGCTCTTGATATTATTGAGCTTTGATTAAAAGCCAAAAACCTTTAAAGTACAATTTCAGGAATTGTTTTTCTGGATAAACCGCTTGCAAAAAATATATCCAATGTTTGAGTTTGCATACGGAGCCCAAAACCACCTGTACGTTTTGCAATGTGCTTTATATTTTGTAGCAATCACTGCCTTTCATGTAAACTGGTACCAGGTGCATACAGCGCATGGGAACGTTCAATTCGAATGTGCAATTCCCTGGAATAGCCACAGTAGTGATTTGTTTAAACAAGTTTTGACAATAAAAACAACTCTCTTTGAACCGTTAACACGATCTTTTCTGACGGTGTTTTTTAATCCAATGTGGCGCGATAGAAATATTTTATTTACCGTCGTACACGGGTTGATATTGACGGAGCACAGGCGAGTATCACTTTGACGCTGTGGTGGATTGAGCGCAGATGTTTGCGTCGGGGGTAGCTGAGCGAATCGCCGTGTGGTAATGATGCCTCCAGGTGTGTCAACCGGGATGTTCTGTTCTGGATCGCAAACAACAAAGCACCTAACACTCACACACACACAGACTCCTACACACACCTAACACTCACACACACCTAACACTCACACACACCTAACACTCACACACACACAGACTCCTACACACACCTAACACTCACACACACCTAACACTCACACACACCTAACACTCACACACACCTAACACTCACACACACCTAACACTCACACACACACACCTAACACTCACACACACAGACTCCTACACACACCTAACACTCACACACCTAACACTCACACACACAGACTCCTACACACACACACACCTAACACTCACACACCTAACACTCACACACCTAACACTCACACACCTAACACTCACACACCTAACACACACACCTAACACTCACACACACCTAACACTTACACACACCTAACACTCACACACACCTAACACTTACACACACCTAACACTCACACACCTAACACACACACCTAACACTCACACACACCTAACACACACACACACCTAACACTCACACACACCTAACACTCACACACACCTAACACTTACACACACCTAACACTCACACACACCTAACACTCACACACACCTAACACACACACACACCTAACACTTACACACACCTAACACTCACACACCTAACACTTACACACACCTAACACTCACACACACCTAACACTCACACAGGTGACTGATGGATGAGCGCGAGCGGCGCTTTGTAAACTCACCTTCATCGTCTCCCTCGCCGACTCGCCGAGTGTTTGTGTTGTTGTTGTTGTTGGAAACGTCCCGACGTCAAATTGAAGCTTGGACGGGCGAGCCAAGGGAAGTTCCAGCAGCGGAAGAAGCTCGTCACGTTGCAGACACCGAGTGACGCGTACCACGTGACAGAGACGCCAACTCCCACGTGCCCTTGAATGCCCCTTCTCGGTTCAAGCGGCGCCCGTTCTACACGCACAAAAGTGTGATTTTGATGATGAACGAACGAAGGAGCAACGAATAAACAAAACCCGGACGACGCCGTGGCAAATCAGAGTTCTGTCTGCTGCCAATTCTCGTCGGCATCTCTCGCGCAACGCGGATCGCACTGCGCGCGTTCCTCGTCCGTGCCGGCCACACGGTTGATATCGGCAATAACGACGGAGCGAGACACGGAGCGAGATAAAATAGCCGCCTCCTATAATGTACGCTTCAACTAAAAAACAAGTATAACCCGTAAAAACAAAGTTTTTCACTATAAATCCTTTATATGCGTGGCCGCTAGAGTCCTCTCGTCCTCTGGCTTGAGATGACTGCCACCTATGGGTCAGATGATTGCATGCCACCATTAAGCAATTGGTAATTAAATGTATTTTTGTCCTAAAGTGTGTCAGTGTGTGTGTCAGGCTGTGTGTCAGTGTGTGTGTCAGTGTGGCGAGGAGTGGTGGTGCAGCGGTTAGCGCGCTGCACTACGAACCTGGATCCCCGAGTTATATTCCCGCTCACGGCCAAAACCAGTGACGATTACCTGAACCGGCACTGCGCCTCCCCCGGGTCGACTCAGCCTCAAATGAGTACCTGGTGCGGTGTGTAAACATCGCCACTGGGGAGATAAAGGCGGCCGGGCGTGGTGCTGGCCTCCCACCCCCTCCTCCACCGTTCCGGCCTTATAGGTGCTCGCTAACAGCACTTGCCCCAACAGCCTGTGCAGGCTACACGGGTGATCTTTGTCTTTGTGTCTTTGGCGCGCGCCCTAGTTGCCTGCGTCCCCAGAGACACTGCCCCATCCTCCACGATCGGCGTCGTATTGCGCCTTTTGGCGTCATCTGGTCCAACCCATGTGAGACTAGGCTCTAAGGAAAGCTGTCTCGGGTGTGGACCAATCAACTTCAAGGACCATGTGAGACTAGGCTCTAAGGAAAGCTGTCTCGGGTGTGGACCAATCAACTTCAAGGACCATGTGAGACTCGGCTCTAAGGAAAGCTGTCTCGGGTGTGGACCAATCAACTTCAAGGACAGTGCGTACATTATCAGAGTTGTGTTTTTTGTTTGTATTATGACTGCAGGTATTGTGGTCTATGCAAACATGACTCCTCTAAAAAGGTGTCAGTTTTGTTGCCAGAAGGGTAAAAAACCAATTATCATATTTTTACTGGCAAATGAGGTCCCCATAGTGTAGATGTTTGCCCCGAGCTCTCATACTCTGATGGTGGATTGTCTTTGAGTTGTGCGCCTTTTGGCGTCTTCTGGTCCAACCCATGTGAGACTGGGCTCTAAGGAAAGCTGGCGGGGGCAAGAGGTGGGCGTGGCTTGGCTTGGCTGGGGTAAGAGGTGGGCGTGGCTTGGCGGGGGAGATTGCAGTGACCCAAACCTTTGAGGGCTACGTCAACCTGGGCAATTATATCCACTGGGATGTGTTTGGGGCGACTGCAAAATTCAGCCCTCTAGCTAGTGTAGTGTAGTATGGAGGTATGACGTCATACGCGCTGAGGTGCGATGACGTCATGTCGTTGTGGGAGCCCAGGATGGTGAGCGGTTGAAGAGAGCCGAAGAGACAGCCAGGGGTAGTGCTCAAGAAGTCTGTAGAAGCCGGCTGTAGTTACGGGAGGTGCTGCTCTCCTTGGTCGGAAGGTGTTGGCTGAACCCCTGTCCTGACTCGAGTGTGAGAGCCCTTAGAGACAGCCCAGGCTAGCAGCAGATAGAGCCAAGGGTCCACGTGAAGGACCGGGTGTAGGGCACCTACCCCTGGTGTTACTTACCACCTTCATTGTTAATAAACCGGCGCAAGCCCTTACCTGAAGACCTGCCTCCACGTCGTCATTCACTACACAACACAATGTGGGACATCGATGTACACAGATATGAACAAGATCAGCAGACAAGACGTCTTTCATTTATTCGGTCTCTCCACGAAACAAAGGAACGTTTTACACAAAATATAAATCCCACGGCCTTCTGCGAGTCCATGACTACTACAGCATTGGTTCAGTGCAAGGCAGCTGTGGACCGGTTCTTGTGCACGATGTCTCAACAGCAGTCAGGGCTTGCTTCAACCCACGGTTGTCAACATCCAGACGTTAATCAGAAGGACCATGTCTTGTCCTAGTTCACCAACATAAGACGTCATACAAAATCCTAATTAGCGTTGGGTAGAATGTATCTACTCAATGTGCTCTGCCTTGTAACTGAATACAAAATTGTAAAAAAAATGCGTTTTCAATGTGCTCTTAAAATTACCTCCTTGCTATGAAAGAATTCAGACTTTACATATTTCATTTATCGATCTCTCCACGAAACAAAGGAATGTTTTAAACTATAACCATCACGGCCTTCTGGGAGTGCATCATTGATTCAGTGCAAGCCACCTATGGACCCTTATTGGTGCACAGCGTCTCAACAGCAGCCGGGCTTGCTTCAACCAATGGTTATGAACCTCCAGACAAGGAGCATTTCTCGTCCTAGATGACAAAGTCTCTGTCAACACGTAATACAAAATTATAATTCGTGTTGTAGAGAATGTATCTCCTCTACGTGTAACTTTTAAGCGTTATGCCTTGTAACTGACGGATAATCCGAGTGTGCTCGCTATTTCAAATACGATGAGTTGCTCCAGAGACAGATGCTTCCTGAAACACAAAAATACCCTTTGACCTGTATCACAAATCAACGGGTCTCACCTGAGTTATCTGTACAGGTTACTTGCAAAACACACTGTGTCCTAACATCACTTATTCAATGTTTGACCCTTGTAAATAAAATGTTGCATGTACACACAACATCAAACAAGTGTTCATTCTAAATTGACGGGCATTTTAACATAATTTCATTACTGCAGTGAAATACACTGCATCAGATAACATCTTATTAAGAAGTTATTTAAAAAAAAATGCACTGTCTGCCTAACAGTGGATGTAAAACATACTTTTGTGTCATTCAACACGAGGCCATTGCATGCTGGCGTCCAAGTCAAAATGTAGCAATATCTAAACATCGTGAATGCTTGAGGGCTTGTTGGCTCTCGCTCCTGGTCAGGGATCTACCCAACACACAGGTCCACAAAGATTGGCCGCGCTTACCCTGCAGGTTGAACCTAGGAACTGAGTGTTCAACTTCGCATTATTTTCATTAAAGGCCTGTGACAAAGGTGCATCTATTGGAGCGACATCGTCTCAAGCCGACACATCTACCGGGTAACCATTTCACTTTGTATTGTCTCGGAGGAAGTCCACCCACACCTCCACTTCCACAAACTGCTGGGAGTTGCCTCGCTCTGCCTCAGTCAGAATTCTCCTCCTGCTTCACGTTGCCACCATCGATGTGAAGGTCCCATTTTGGAGTTGAACCTTCATCTTCACATTTTACCTTCACTTCTTCGCACTTCACCATCACTTCTTCATATCCCACCTTCACCTCTTCATATTTCACCTTGATACCTTTAAAAGTGTCCAAGCTGGGATATTCTTCCGGTTCTTGTTTGATGAGGGATGGGCTCATTGCAGCACTTTGACTTTCACAAGCTGATTTCAGACTCCAGTCCTTGTGGATCTTCTGATGCGTGTGTCTTCTCTGGTGGACTTGAAGATTGGAAGAATCTGAAAACGCCTTTCCACACACACTGCACTTGAAGGGTTTCTCTCCCGTGTGTGTTCTCTGGTGTTTTACAAGAGTAAATGACTTTGCAAACGCCTTCCCACACACACTGCACTTAAAGGGTTTCTCTCCTGTGTGTGTTCTCTGGTGTTTTACAAGAGTAAATGACTTTGCAAACGCATTCCCACACACACTGCACTTAAAGGGTTTCTCTCCTGTGTGTGTTCTCTGGTGTGTTACAAGAGTAGATGAAAGTGCAAACGACTTCCCACACACACTGCACTTAAAGGGTTTCTCTCCTGTGTGTGTTCTCTGGTGTGTTATAAGAGTAGATGACTGTGCAAACGCCTTCCCACACACACTGCACTTGAAGGGTTTCTCTCCTGTGTGTGTTCTCTGGTGTATTACGAGATGATATAAAACAGAAAACGCCTTCCCACACAGAGTACACTTGAAGGGTTTCTCTCCCGTGTGTGTTCTCTGGTGTATTATAAGAGCAGATGACTTTGCAAACGCCTTCTCACACACACTGCACTTGAAGGGTTTCTCTCCCGTGTGTGTTCTCTGGTGTGTTACAAGAGTAGATGAAAGTGCAAACGCCTTCCCACACACACTGCACTTAAAGGGTTTCTCTCCCGTGTGAGTTCTCTGGTGTTTTACAAGAGTAAATGACTTTGCAAACGCCTTCCCACACACACTGCACTTAAAGGGTTTCTCTCCTGTGTGTGTTCTCTGGTGTTTTACAAGAGTAAATGACTTTGCAAACGCATTCCCACACACACTGCACTTAAAGGGTTTCTCTCCCGTGTGTGTTCTCTGGTGTGTTACAAGAGTAGATGAAAGTGCAAACGCCTTCCCACACACACTGCACTTGAAGGGTTTCTCTCCCGTGTGTGTTCTCTGGTGTGTTATGAGAGAAGATGACTGTGCAAATGCCTTTCCACACACACTGCACTTGAAGGGTTTCTCTCCCGTGTGTGTTCTCTGGTGTATTACGAGATGATATAAAACAGAAAATGCCTTCCCACACAGAGTACACTTGAAGGGTTTCTCTCCCGTGTGTGTTCTCTGGTGTATTATAAGAGCAGATGACTTTGCAAACGCCTTCTCACACACACTGCACTTGAAGGGTTTCTCTCCCGTGTGTGTTCTCTGGTGTGTTACAAGAGTAGATGAAAGTGCAAACGCCTTCCCACACACACTGCACTTGAAGGGTTTCTCTCCCGTGTGTGTTCTCTGGTGTGTTACAAGAGTAGATGACTGTGCAAACGCCTTCCCACACACACTGCACTTGAAGGGTTTCTCTCCCGTGTGTGTTCTCTGGTGTATTATAAGAGCAGATGACTTTGCAAACGCCTTCTCACACACACTGCACTTGAAGGGTTTCTCTCCCATGTGTGTTCTCTGGTGTATTTTAAGATCAAATGACCGTGCAAATGCCTTCCCACACACACTGCACTTGAAGGGTTTCTCTCCCGTGTGTGTTCTCTGGTGTATTTTAAGATCAAATGACCGTGCAAATACCTTCCCACACACACTGCACTTGAAGGGTTTCTCTCCCGTGTGTGTTCTCTGGTGGATCTGAAGAACTGATGGCCATGCAAACGTCTTCCCACACACACTGCACTTGAAGGGTTTCTCTCCCGTGTGTGTTCTCTGGTGCTGTGTCAATTTTCCAGTCGGATCCGTGCTGTATCCACGCTGGTCGCATTGTTGACTTGTCGTCCCAAGCTGTGCTGAGCGCCTTTGCTCCATCAGACCAAGCGACAGCTGCAGACAGAAAAAAATTATATCCACACCACCAACACGTCAGTATCGAGACACAGAGAAATAAAAAAACACAGTCACACGTGACTTACACGTCTATACTTATTCATATATTCATGATGCAGCGAAAAAGTTTCCTAAATTCATCACACGGGCTGCTATTGCACACAATGAGAGGGTGAATGGTCGTAAATATGCCTGGAAGCCCTCGTATCTTCTTAATGAATGTTAACCCAAAACTCCGAGCACACAATTTCGGCTGTCTGGCTACAAAAGAAATATTTATTAGAGCTAAATTCGGCTAACATAGCAAAGGGTGTTGGAAACAATCCTATTTGTGTTATGCAGAAATGCGTAAATTAATACTGGTAGGAACCTCCTGGTTACACCAGCCCACAGGGGATTGTTGTGTCCGTCGTGAAGGGGGGGGGCTGGGTGGAGAGGGTGGAGAGGGTGGGGAGGGGCTGGGTGGGGCTGGGTGGTGGGTGGGAGGGGTGGGGCTGGGTGGGGAGGGGCTGGTCACCCCGTGGTGCCCTTATAAAACTCAATGTTTAACCTACTCACGCCGGCTTGTGCCCGCCCTCACAGTCGGCATATGTGCGGAATACACCACGCCGCCGTTGACCCTGCAGGCCATTGAGCGAGCAACCCGACGTTCCTACCAGCTCCCTCCGCAGCAGCAGGAATGTTGTTCAGTGGCAACTTAGCGGTGTGAAGCCAGGCTCAGATGTCCTTGAATGATGGGATGAACAGATCTGACGTCAGCTGCTGCACGTGTGTGTGCTGTGCTAACTTCCTGTTTCCACTCTTATAAAGAGTTCCAGAGGAAAACTAAAATAAACTATTGTTTTGATACAACCTCCGTGTTCAACAGAGTTAATATACTTTACATTGTCACACACCATCTTTACACTGTCACACACTGATAGACTTTACTGCAAACACAAACTTGACACTGTCACACACAGTGCCATGGTAAACCGGTGGTGGTGTGGAGTTTACACCAGACACCCCGCCCCGGTTTTCCCCTCCACATTCAACATCAGCGTCTTTGACAGACAGACATTGACACACGGAGTCTTGGTTCTTTCGGTAAAGTCACGTAGATAGGAAATAAAAATAACAGATCATGAAATTAAATTAAAAAAACACCACTTGTGTTGCGATCGAAACGTCGTGGGTTTATTCTTTATTTGCAATTTTATTTAACATTATTATCTGTTATTTTTTTTATCTCCGTGACTTCACCGAAAGAACCAAGAATATGATTTGCTGCAGTTACGAAAGTTTTAAGTCAAAACACCGAGACACGCGTTGACAAAACCCACCTTGTGTCGTGGGCAGGTAGCTTCTGTAAACAAGAGCGTTACAGCAGCTCAGGCGGGCTTGGGCTGGTAAAAAAACGAAAAAAAAAACTGCGTTAATATCTACAATAAACCAAAGTGACAAAGTAGCGAGCCGCGTGAAGACAAATTAAACTTAAGGGAGGGAATTAAAGCAAACGCGACCAGGCGAGGGCAGGAGGCAAGGCCCCGCGTGTCTAGGCCCCGCGTTGTAAAGTTCCAACTTGGACATCGATTCACAAGCTGCTGCTGCTGCTGCTCTAGTGACATCCCTACGAGAGAGAGAGCGAGGCTCTAGCTTGGTAAACAACAACAACCACAACAACAACCACAACAACCACCACCACAACAACCACAACAACCGCCACGAGAATTTCTCACCTCAGATTTCAGTTCCCGCGCGGAGCGGCACCTTTCCGTTACCTCGTGACGTCACGCGGCAGCAGCAGGTGACATGACGTCACTCGCGGGGTACCAGGCAGTCCCCTCCCACAAGGAGCGGCTCTGTAACTCAGATAGATTATGTTAATGAGATACAATTGTCACGACGTTTCGGCCAAAACGCAAGCGGCCGTCTTCAGGTGAATAATATTAGTCGCGAAAGCCGACGTTACACAACCTGGTGGTGCCCTGCTCAAGTCCATTCATTTTATGTGTCACTGTAATTTGCATCTGTTGTCTTGGTTTTAATTCTCAAATCTTCTGATTGATCATTTTGTCCCTCGCTACGTTCGAAATCATTGCTTGCTCTGGCACACTTATATGCAATAAGCTGGATGTAAGCACAGTTCTGATATAAGCAACATTTCACTGGTGGAGATATTCACAGGGCACCTGATACAAGTGCACTTTGGATGGACTTGCATGCAAAACGTGCTTTTATCCAGCTCATACTGAAATACTATCATAACCCATTATTACTGAAACAATGACATGTAATTGTTCTAAACAATGTGCCAATTTTATATTCGGTAAACTTGACCGCAAACGCCTTTCTCTGGCAGTCGTAACAGCGCCCAGCAGACGGCGGCACTTTGACAGCCGCAAGCAGCGCTCCACATGGTCCAGTGCCGGAGATGGACATTCCACGTTCCTGCGCCGGGGGACCTGGTTCAGTGGGACAGCCGCTGGCGATGTGTATGCACCACGTGGTACAGGCTGACTATGTCCTGCTCGTTTCAGCAACCCCAGAGGCACGGACGGTGGTGATGACACCAATGCTGTTGCTCTTGACGTTGATGAGGATGTTGCTGCTGCTGATGATGATGATCCTGCTGATGAGGCACAGTCCGTGACCCGAACACGACTTGAACTCAACCTCGCAGTTGGGTGTTTCCAACTCTCTACAATATAACATCCTAGGTAATGTACGTAGTGCTGATAAGCAACTGGATTTCTATTGTCGTTTTGAGCTCCGTATGCTTAGATCGCTCCTGGTCACCCTTGCAAAAAGAGACGTTAAGTTTCAATTGATTCCTGGTGAAATTCAAGCGCTTGCGAATTTGAGACCTGAGTTTGACTCCCGGTCATGGAAATCGACAGTGGCGAATTGTATCGGAATAGGTGACGAGCCAAGCAACATCCCACCACCCCCCACGTCACTAGTTTGCACTGACCGGCGTGGTGAAGTATGGTCAAACTAACCCCATGACCGGCGAGGCCTTCATCCAACAGTGGACACAGAGCTGTACATTTCGAGTTAAAGCTTTCGTGACTGCAGGGATTCATATTCTTGGTTCGTTCGGTAAAGTCACATAGAAGGGAAATAATAAAATAATAGAAATATGAAACAATAAAAATTCTCACGACGTTTCGACTGCAACACAAGCAATCATCGTCAGGTGTGAAATCCACAGCAAGAAAATTTTAAAATTTAAAAAAAAAATTCTTGCTGTGGATTTCACATCTGACGATGATTGCTTGTGTTGCAGCAGTCGAAACGTCGTGAGAATTTTTATTGTTTTATATTTCTATTATTTTATTATTTCCCTTCTACGTGATGACTTTACCGAACGAACCAAGAAGATGAATCCCTGCAGTCACGAAAGAAGCTTTACATCGAAATCCTCCCAGGTCCGTCGCCATCTCTCGCGGCCCCAGTGCCGCGCTAATCGTCCGTCTCACTCCTCCCAACGCGCGCGGGCCGAGCTCAGACGAGACCGGGCGCATTCAGGGTGATACGGTCGTAGGCCATGCTTGCAGAGACATGACGCACATTCATATGTAAAAATCAAGATTCTACTCTACTGCGGGAGGTCAACACTCATGAAAACGTTTATTCTGGACTCCTGGTTGAGTCCCGAAAGAGTGGCATTAAACGTGCATAAATATATTATATATATATATTTATGCATGACAGACAGACAGACAAATAATCCCTGATGGGCAGTGTGGAACTGTTGTTCCTACCTGCTGTGTACACGATCACGTGACTTGAGGTAGCCAGGCAGACAGCCCCCTTCACTATCGGACCCTCCCCTAGGCCCCTCCCCTGACACCCCCCCCCCCCTCAGGCCCCTCTCCTGTCTCCCCCCTTCCTTAGGCCCCTCCCCTGACTGACCCTCCTCCCTTAGGCCCCTCCCCTCTCCGTACCGGCAGGAGGTCTCCACCAATCAAAGAGCTGTTTATATTATATATATATATTTATGCACGACAGACAGACAAAAAATCACTGATGGGCAGTGTGGAACATATTGTTCCTACCTATATAACGAAAAATCTGTTTAAATATTTACTAAGAACTCGTGATCCCAATTATTGAAACAACTACCAAAAGCATTTTTTAAACATGACTTGGTTCCACCGAGATTTGAACTCAGATCGCAGGATTCAAAGTCCTGAGTGCTAACCATTACACCATGGAACCTTCACACAGAAACCTTGTTACACAGTCAACACGAGAGTGGGTTCAATCAATTGAGGGTGGGGCTGGGTGGGGAGGGGCTGGGTGGGAGGGGCTGGGTGGGAGGGAAGGGGCTTGTGCCCGCCCTCACAGTGGGGCACATGTGCTGGGGCTCAATGTGCAGGATGAGTGTGTTTGCTGCCCCTCCAGTCACTTGCGACTCAGCAGCTCGCTGAGCATCTGGCTGTGACGCTGCTGAATGTGGAGCAGCTCTGCAAGAGAGGCGAACAGCTTCTTCTTGACACGACCGCCGCCATCAGCACCACCGGCAGTGTCAGCGTGGGCTGCGTGACGTCGTTTGGACGCTTGCCGAGGAGCAGCAGCAGCAGTAGCAGCAGCAGTAGCTTGCTCCGCTCGCTCCAGGTCATGTCCCAGCGGCTGCACCTGCAGCTGGTCCCACTGCAGCTTCTCCTGATCCAGCTTCTCCTGCTGCAGCTTCTCCTGCTGCAGCTGCAGCTTCTCCCACTGCAGCTGCAGCTTGTCCTGATCCAGGTCCAGCTTCTCCTGCTGCAGCTTCTCCTGCTGCAGCTGTAGCTTCTCCTGCTGCAGCTGCAGCTTGTCCTGATCCAGGTCCAGCTTCTCCTGCTGCAGCTGCAGCTTCTCCTGCTGCAGCTGCAGCTTCTCCTGCTGCAGCTGCAGCTTGTCCTGATCCAGGTCCAGCTTCTCCTGCTGCAGCTGTAGCTGGTCCCACTGCAGCTGCAGCTTCTCCTGCTGCAGAAGAGAACAAAGGAGCTCTAGGTAATACACTCCCATATTCATCATCATCCATCACCCATCATCATCATCATTCAGTAACAAGCGCCATCAGCAGCAGCAGCACCATCGCTGTCCTTGAAACTGATTGGTCCACACCAGAGACAGCTTTCTTTAGAGCCCAGGGCAATGCATACATGATCAGAGTATAGTTGTTTTTTTTGTTTGCATTTGACTGCAAGTTTTTGTGGTTAATGTCAACGTGATTCCTTGCAAAAGGTGTCAGTTTTGTTTGCCGGAAAAAAAGGGGAAAACGCCCATGAGTGTATGTGGGTACTGGTGTAGTGGTGTTAACTACTCGCTGTTCGCAAACTGTGAGAGCAGATCAATCAATCGGTCAGGGTCAAATGGGGTGAGGTAGGATCCAAACGCCAGATTGGGAAGGACCAATCGGAGGGTCCCGCAAGGTGGCCGGGGATTGGACAACCCGGCCACGAACAGGTATAAAAGCCGGAGCGCTGAGAGCTCTTGGCCAGTTCTGCTACACGAAGACCCAAGTCGGCCAAAGACGTCTAGGAGCCTGGACCAAGCCCTCCAGCCCTTATCAGGGCTAGGGCTCAGAGTAACCAGTGGTCGGGGAGAGATCCCCTAGGTCCAGCCAGAGGACGCTGGGAGAGCAGGGAGATTAGATAGCCTGCAAGGTCCGGAGGCTTGTACCTTCTGCGGGTAACGGGTGAGGGGACCATATACCCCTTAGTGTGATAGGGACTGTGTGTTAAGATAATAAATGGTGTGTGCCATAAAGAAGTTTAGAAGTCTGTCCTTACAATTCTAGATTTGAAGCTTTCGTGACTGCAATGATTCATATTCTTAGGTTTTTTCGGTAAAGTCACCAGGTAGGTAAAAACATTAAAAAGTAAAATAAAATAAAAAACGTCGTGATTTTTATTTTATTTTACTTTTTAATGTTTTTACCTACGTGACTTTACCGAAAAAACCTAAGAATCTGTCCTTACAACACTACACTGGCAAAGGAGGTCCCGTGATGTAATCAGGATGCCCCACCCCTCATCCCTCCTCACCACACCGAAGACAGCAGCAGCTGCTGCTGCTTCTGCTGGAGGAGGAGGTGTAGGTCGTCAAAATGTCATCGAAATCCCGGAGTCGGACAAACCGCACGGGGTGGTTGGACATCGCAATTGGCGGTTTTTAGAAACAAACAAAAATTCAACGGGAAAAGTTCGAAGCTTTGCTAGATCCATCTTCTTGGTTCTTTCGGTAAAGTCACGTAGAAGGGAAGTAATAAAATAATAAAAATAAAACATCATTATTTTATTATGTTTTATTTTTATTATTCTATTACTTCCCTTCTACGTGACTTTACCGAAAGAACCAAGAAGATGAATCCCTGCAGTCACGAAAGCTTTAAATCGAAACTTTGCTAGATCCTCAACCTCAGGATGCCAAATGATAACTCGATAACAAGGTGCACGGATTGCTGGCGATACAGACGGGGAACGGAGGTTAAAACCCTCGGAATCGCCTTGGGTAACAACTTCATGGTATATAGCACAGATGTTGGCCAAGCATTAACCAAATGGTAATTATTCTTTGGTTCTTTCGGTAAAGTCACGTATAAAGATAAAATAATAAATTAAATTAAATAATAGCATACGACGTTTCGATTGCAACACAAGCAATCATCAGGTATAAATTAAATAGAAACACAAATCTAGTCTACTTAGAAAAAAAATGTAATACAACAGAGAGTCGGATAACATAACAGTCAACACCCTACCTGGTTGATTACGTTCTTCCTGAGAATGCTAAATTTGAGAGAGAGACAGACATATAAGAGAGAGACAGACATATAAGCAGACAGATATCACAGAGTGATATCTGAGTGATATCTGTCTGCTTATATGTCTGTCTATATGTTTCTGGTTCTGTGTTTAATCTCTCTCTCAAATTTAGCATTCTCAGGAAGAACGTAATCAACCAGATAGGGTGTTGACTGTTATGTTATCCGACTCTCTGTTGTATTACATTACATTTCTAAGTATAATAGATTTGTGTTTCTATTTAATTTATACCTGATGATGATTGCTTGTGTTGCAATCGAAACGCGGTAGTATGCTAGTATTTAATTTATTTTATTATTTTATCTTTATACGTGACTTTACCGA